TACTATACCGTTAGCGGGAGAACTGACAATCGTTCACGTCAATAGTAGCTTAGCTAGCTGCAGCGTTAGCAGTTACTTATTGTGAGTTTACTTTGTGGGATATTCGCCTTTTGTACAAATGTTAATGTAGCTAACTGCACTTTTTAAAAATGTGTTTAATAATACAAATTCTCTTTCTACTTCTTTACAGATAATGCCCACAATAAAATTACAGAGCTCTGATGGGGAAATCTTCGAGGTGGATGTTGAGATAGCCAAACAGTCAGTCACTATCAAGACCATGTTAGAAGGTATAGCTTTTTTAAAAAATCATCTGCAAACGTCTGAGTCGATTGTGTGACCTCGTGGCCCGACCTATATTGTGTTTCCTCCTTTGTACTAATTTAGGGAATATATTTTAATTTGGATAAATACCAATTTATCTAATTGATTCTTTGACAGATTTGGGTATGGATGATGAAGGAGATGATGACCCAGTTCCTCTTCCTAATGTCAATGCTGCCATTCTCAAGAAGGTACAGAACTCGCACACAAATTCAAATTAGCTTTATTGGCATGAATATTGCCAAAGCTATATATAAAGTACATAAGGACAATTCATTTCAGACATTTCTCACACACACACCAGGCATTGTACAGGGAAACATGTTTTGAACTGTGCATATGCACTCACTGATGATCAGTATCCAGTCGGTTTGTTTGTTGAAAATAAAAAGAAAAGGGTTTTGTTGATGTTTTGTGACAGCAGAATGAAGTTCTGTTGTAAAGTTCCTCTGTTTTTGCTAGGTGGACAAATAAAAAAGGACCTTGCAGTTAGCATTTTTTGCCTGAAATTGTCATGTTTAAAATTAAATTCTATCTCAAGTTGTGTTAATCACATTTACAAACCTTTGCCCATCTTTTTTGGTACAGGTTATGTTTTCTGTGATTTTTTTTTTTTCTTTCACATATGTCAAAAGTATCATTTCATAACTCCGCCTACTTTCAACAGGTCAGATAGTAATATTCAGGCGGATCGTGAGGAGGAGGATGACAGACAGGATGCAAAGGCCTTGAGTGTATATGGAGTTTGTCTTCACGTTCTGTTAAGATGATGATCTAATTTTTACTGCTCATCTGTCAAGCTATTTGTTCCCTTTTGCCTGTTCTTGCCAGTAAAGCTGAAGGCTGTAAAAGCCTGTTTCTTCTTGCCTCTTGTGCGGTTCTTTTAAACAAGAGGGTCTTTAATATTATTTTACTCATACCTCAGTTGGCGAACTGGAACCCATGCTTAGTAATTATATTTTCATAAACACATTTCTAATAACTAGAGTTGCAATATAAGAAAGAAAAACTAGGCACATAGTTCTAGACAAAGGGCAATGAATGTGTGTGTGCTCCAGTTTGAAATGAGGTGCTGATGGATGCCATACAGTATATATTTTACTGGTCATGACCACTGTAATGTGTTACCTTTTGGTTAAAATTTTGTGCGTGTGTATCCCTCAGGTGATTCAGTGGTGCACTCATCACAAAGATGACCCCCCTCCTCCTGAGGATGATGAGAACAAAGAGAAGAGGACAGATGACATTCCGGTATGGGACCAGGAGTTCCTCAAAGTGGACCAAGGCACCTTGTTTGAACTCATTCTGGTAAATACAGTTTACATTATAATTACATCACATTGACCTACATCCATTCCTTAGTGGTTGACACTAACTGTAACTATAACCATTGCATGCCAAACCCTATCCCTGAACTGTACAATGTTAATTTATTAATAGATTTTGTCCCCATAAAACGTACATGCAGATGCCTCCCATGTTCTGGTACTCTTCAAATTGATTTCTGAAGACATTAACTTCAACACTCCTTTGCTTTCTGGCCTTGTTTTGTCCCCTACCTGTAGGTTTTGTATTTGTTGTTTTTGTGCGTATTTCTGTTGACACTACTTTCCAGTCATCTGTTTCATTCTTCATTAATCGAGGTACAAAAGTTGCTTGGCTGTTGTAAGGTGAAAAACCACATGTCAGAAACACTCCCTGTGGATTTTCTCTGTGCGGCATGTGACTAAACCAGGCAGGGCACGTGAAAGGTAACCTAAGCAGTGATTTGGAAATGGGTGCTGGACAAGCTTTGGGCTTCCAGGAAGTGAAACATAAGTCAGTAGTGTCCATCACTTGCGTTGATTAACCCCCCCACCGGTTGTTTTGAATGTGTTTACATGCACTAAGCTAGAGGATGCTGAAGAGGCGGGGGTGAAGTAGCTCAATGAGGGCTTCCGTGCTATATGAAAATTAATACAAGACTTTGTCAATGACCACCGAATGGTGTATGTACGGTTCAGTGGGATTACGGGATGTGAGTTAACTGGACCACAGCAGGAGTGGAGTTGATGTTAAGTGATCTTAGTCTTGCGTGTAACCTGATGGCTTTGAACTGTAGCCTTACTCAGAAGCAGGACTTGGAGACATGATTGAAATCAATGGCACACTATTAATAACCATGTTTGTCGAAAGCATGTTTAAAATGGTCACATAATTGGTTAATACCGCAAACTCTACTGTTAGACACTTAAATATACAGAAGCTTCAAATCTCGTTTCTATGTTAAATTTGAGTGAGGACTTGGACATCAGAAGTATAACAGTCTATCTTTTACAAATCAGTCGATCTGATTTTCAAAGCAGCACAGATGTTTTGTAATGAATTGTGGTCATTGTAATTCCTGAAGGCCTTGATGAAACAGATAAGCTGAAAAACTTAAGCAACCTCTTCTCATTTCAATGGAACGACTGCGGTGGTGAAAAAACAAATGTGGGTGGTGTCTGGCAAAAAAAGTTGAACCAGGTTTAATTTTCTAACTCATGCAAACACCCGTTCCTAGTAGATTACTTTGATGCTCAAAAGAAAAAAATGATTGTCGTCATTGCAACTTTCCGGAGTTGTTAAATCCTGCCTCTTAGTAATAGAAACTGCTGTGCTGTGTTTTGGCATCTGATAAGCCTTGAAATTTGTGGATCTATTACTCAAATTAGTCTTCCTGCATATTAAGCCCCATTTACACTTGGTAGTTATGTGATCTGTATCTGGATAATGACATCTGATCCACAGGCCTTTTGAATTTTCACCTGATATAATGCGCTTTCTAGTTGTCTTGGGGAACCTGGCAGTCAACAAACCTGGTGCAGCCTACGTCGTGGAAAGCAATGCCGTGGACAGTGTCTTTCTTAAATAACTTTTTGTGAGGGTCTTGCTAACTTGTGCTACTGCTTGTAGCTTACTTAAGTTAGCAGCAAGAGCTGGAGATAAGTGACCTTTAATGTGCTGGATGGATTTTTGTTCTTGAGAATTCACACCTGGCTGAGATCCAATCACACCCTCCACATGTGGTCTGACTGATCTGATTGCAGTCGGATCACGATGCGTTCTGCTTGCATTAATGGCCCTCCTTATCTAGATGGGATACACATTGCATGTTAACGCCAGCTGTATTTGGAATGTTATTAATTTGTTGCACTGGTACTTGAAACGTGACGGCCACACCAGTGCAGCTCCTTGCTGTTTTTTGTCTGAAGGCCAGGTAACATGCTTGTAGTTGCGTTCAGCATTAAACCTTAGCAGTCGGGAAAACTATAGTAGTGAAAATCACCAGTAACTTCATGCAATGTAGTCTCTGAAATGAAATCAAAACGCCCTTGGCTGGCTGTTAATCTGCCTGCAAGTGTTGATATTTTCCTTGAATGTGTCAGTCAGTTCTTGTAGTCTCACTGCCACCTCCTCTTCATGTCACTGTTGTGCTTTTTTTTATTTTTTAGGCTGCCAACTATTTGGACATCAAAGGCCTGTTAGATGTCACCTGCAAAACGGTGGCCAACATGATCAAAGGCAAAACCCCGGAAGAGATCAGGAAGACTTTCAACATCAAAAATGATTTCACAGAGGAGGAGGAAGCCCAGGTAATTGTTCCATCCATCACCTGTCTGTCAGAAAACACAAAGGTCTTATATAAGTAACGGGAAATTAATTGATCAGTTTGGACTGATGCTCAATATAATTACACAAATACACCTTTTGATTCTGTATAAGGGATCGCAGCTTTTGACAGTTCACCTACCGTCCACTTATTCTTGGAAACTTACCCGGTTTGTCCCTCCTCTCCACAGGTACGTAAAGAGAACCAGTGGTGTGAAGAGAAGTAAAGGGGAAGACCCTGCCAACACTACCACACTGAAAAGGAATTGTCCCTGCTAACTGGTTGCACTGGCGTTGTTCATACTTGTCAATATTTACATTTAGTGTATTTAGAGCCACATACTCACCCCCTCCTCCCCTTCCATCAATTTCTGCATACCAGTAGCATGACCATTTTAACTTGCCTGTGTGTTGTCATTAATTTAAATTAAAAAAAGCTATTCTGTTTCCGCACACGTGTATTTACATAAAATAATCCTGGTTTCATGCTTTGTACCCTTAAAGATTAGAAGTCTTTCCATATTTTTCCTATTGTCAGTCGCTATGGTTGTCTTTTTTACTTGGACATGTTTTTTTCTTTTAGGGTTAATTGAATAAAATGGCTTTTTTGACAATGGAAATGAAAGTGTGAATATTTTACTTTTTCCCTCTGTAAATGCATCTGTTATGTGAAACCGTGATCAGAGAGGATGGCTGTTAAAGGAAAAGTGAAGTTTGAGGTCGAAAGATGTTTTGCGTAATGTCCCTTTGGACTCGAAGTACTTGTGTGTTATCACAGCATTGGGTTACTCATTCCTAATTCATGTTGTATTGAATTGGAAACCTTTCTCAGATAAACTGATGCTGGCTTTTGGGATGATCAAATATATTGAAGGAGTAAATAAAACGTTTAAAAAGGTTCTTGTTTGTCATTTTTGTTTTGAAGGTACCATGCGCTGAAGATCATGACCTTTAAGACAATTTGTTTTTAGATCTTTTTAAAAGTAATTTGTCTCATTGAAATCGTTCCTGATATGTGCTAGTATCTTATCTACAGTAGACAGTGGACAAGATATTGGAAACACTTTAATACATCAAACAAAAACAAGGAATACATCAGGCGTTTTGAGGCGTAAAAAATACAAACGACATCTTCAAGGTGTTGCCACTGACGTCCTCAAAATAATAAGCTATTTCTAGCACAAGAGCTCTCTCTGCTGGAGGAAAACAGTTTTGCTGTACAGAGGCTCAGCCTACACTTTGTCCACATTGTTGGAAGCTGAGTTTGAAGCTGCAAGCAGAACAGTACATTAATCCTTTTTTTTTTTTTAATCAAAATCTTATTTTTGTTACATTTAAGTTGGAACATGCACAGATTGAGAACACAAGATATCATTTGAATGCTGCTGCAGTAACACTTGACCAAATGAAAAGTAAAATTCTCCACAAGACAAAAAATGTATTGCTTTAAGAAATGGTACAAACTAAAAAATGGTTTTTTTTGTTCTTTTTTTTTTTTTTTACATAAAAACATATAAAAGTTTAATTATAATAGGGAATTCCAACATTTATAAAACTTTACAACACAATGCAATATAATAGTACCCATTTGGTCTCAGATAAGTTTACGTAGCTGCAAAATGTTCAGTCAAAGGAAAACCGCCAAGAGACTTAAAAACAAACAAAACCCTCTTGTCTTTCTCTGAGGGTTTCCCCACAAGCAGAGCATCTGACCTTAAAAATCAAGAGTCAAACAAAAATACCACAAATTAGGAGAACACGGAACAAAAATGTAACTGTTGATATAGCGAGACTGACAGCCTGAAAGTGCCTAAAAGAAATAATGTAACTTGAAGTTGGGGATAATCAGTCATGTATAATTGTGGGACTTTTACCTGCTGAACATGTTTTCTTTGTGAAAGGGGCTGCACAAGTAGTATAAATTGTTTGCAAATGGAATGAAACGGAAGTCGAACTGTTTGCAATATGGCAGCTAACGATAATGAATCAGTCCCTCTTTAGAGCTGAGGTTCTGCTGGTCAGGCTGGCTGGTTGCTGGTTTCTGCTCCCCTCTGGTTTGGTCTGACTGATAGTGGTGGTCAAGTTGATCGGAGTGATAGCTGTGATGGTGATATGTAAATCCTTAAATGTGAAGGAAAGTCGATATGTAACAACAATGTACGCCCTGAAGAAGAGTCTTGTGCAACTACGCTCTCACCTTGATGCCAGATTAGCTCTTACCTGTGCCTAACTTTTAGGTCTGTGTTGATGTGGTTTGTTTAATTGTGATTGTCATGGACGTCAAAAGCACAGGGTCAGCTTTAAAAATGAGCATCAAGGGGCTGAGGAGATTAATTTGTAGGATTAGTTCTCAAGAGGCAGAGCTGTCCTGAAGGCAAAACGAATGGCTTTAGGTTGAGGTTAGCTGCAGCAGATAGAGCCGAAAAAACAACTAAAACAAAGATTACTTTTGCCTCTTTACAACTGGAAGTCCTGGTGACTGGCGGGGTTTCAATCACCAATTCAGAGGCTGGATCCTCCCACGGATGTGGCTCAAAAAGTGGATCCTTAAGCTTTTGTCTTGTGGTCCACTTACCTTCCAAATGACAGTTTTGCTTCACAATGAAGTGTTCCTTGCTAACTTGTAAAACTATTTCAAGGTTCACGACCAGGATGTTGATCTTATACTTTCAAAACACCAAACTGGCCCATGTTAAGAATCACCAAATTTACAGTATGACTAGGTTAATGGTAAATACTAACCTTATTAACATGTCTAGGTGGGTAACATTTTACCAATGATTGGTGACCACCTGAACCACACATGGTTAGGTGATATTTCCAGGTTGACAAGGATTGCCTGGATGCTTGATTAAAGAATTGAACATTTGAAGGAGATTTCCAAAAGAATTGGGCCTCAATAATGACTGATTCTGTCTAATAACAGAATTTAGAGGATCCAGCCTCTGAACTGAGACACAGCTATTATCTTACTCTGCTATAATTTAGTGGGGCGGATGCTGGTACCAGGGAGTGACGGATGTGTCCCCCTTCATCACCTTGCTTCCCTCAGTCACTTCTATTACTTTAAAATCAAACAAAACAACCACAGGCTATAGATAAATGTGAAATGGTGGCAGGTGAGGAACATGATCTTCATGGCTCTGAAGATAGCTGAGGTGAAACGGGGTCACGGACGTGAGCAGCCCGGAGCGATCACAGAGTCTCTGTTAGCACTTTGAGAGAAAGTCCTGCAGCCTTGGCGGCTGACAGCGCCGTCGTTGAGCTGTGCATCTGCTTGCTGGACAGTTCCAGGTGTGAGTGGGTGTGTTTGGTTGTGGGCTGACGGAGGTCGCTGCGCTTGCCAGCAGACTGCTGCAGGGGTGGGCGTGTGTGTGAGCGTGTGTGTGTTGGCGGAGACAAGGGGAGACGTGTTGATGGGGAGGTGGGCGGTGGGGAGCAGCCCGGGGAAGGGGGATGCTGGTGCTGGTACAGACGGTGGCGGGCGGGGGAAGGGGAGGGGGGAGAGTCTATAGCACTTAGATCTGAAGAAGTTGGGCTGGGGCAGCCTCCTCCTTGAAGGTAGCGAATGCACTTCTTTTTCCTCCTAGGGACAGTCAGAGAGAGTTATCTGTGAATAAAGTGTGGATGGTAAATGTCAGCAGGCTTCAGTGAAGATGCATCACTCACACCGATGAACAGGGAGACAGTCATACTGAACATGGTCATGATGAACAACTGAAATTGATCAGTGTCAGTCTATGTACATCTGTATATGAAACGTTAATGTCCGAAACACTGCAAACCCATTTCAAACCTAGTTTTTGAAAATATTGTTATTGTATCAAATTACTGGACTTTTAGAAGGAAAAAGTAACAAAACATTTTTGTAATGTTGGTGTCACGCTAATGTAAAATATTAAAGATTGCTTTTTATTTCAACATTTTGTGAAATATGCCTACTCCCCCCCCAGAGAATTAGATGAGAAAATCAATATCCTCATGTCTGTACAGATTATGGAACTAAAGCCTGTGGTGCTTAGCTTAACTTAGCACAGCAGGGAGAAACAGCTCACCTGGCTCTGTCCAAAGTTTATAATTATACCTATCAGCGCCTCTAAAACTCACTGGTTAATGTGTTGTGTCTCATTAGTTTGAAAAGTACACAAACAGAAATGTAAAAGTAACAATTTTTGGCTTTAGGGGGAGTAATGTGCCGGAGCAAGTTACACACTGTGTTAAACACTGTGACTTTCTTGAGTTTTGTTGTGACCAGGCAACCAGATTTCTGTACAGAAGTGCTAGACGGATGGATAATATAAAGTTACACTACCTAACTCCTCCTAAAACCCTAAATTGTGGTTTGTACTTCCCACTACATTGAACAAATGATATAACATGTTAACTACTGAGCTTTAAAATGTGTTGTCACGTGTACTCCCTGCTTCCAGTCTTCAAAATTCTGTGGTATTCCACAAAAAGAAAGGATTTTGTAAGCTATTTTTGCTGGGTAATGCAAATGTCAGTGTATACAGATAAATCATTTATTATTTGACAGAAGGAAATCCTAATCAAATTAATATTAAATTAATATTTAAAATATTTTTTGTGCTATGTGTTGAACAAAACTCTTGGGCTTGTGGTGTTGACGGTGTCCTTAACATAAAAACAAACATCACAAAAATAGTATTTATTGCATAGAAACTGCATAATACAGTCAGGTGTTTCAGTTTTTTTGTCCACCCCAGGTACACTATTCTCCTGGTCTGCTCCAGACATTATGCAAACAGCATTGATGTGCAGTGCTTTGTGAGGTGTGATACATAAAAGCAGACTTGTGTACCACTAACTGCAGCATCAAAGCAGTTAACAGGATCCCATGATCATTACCAGAATATGATATGAGTCACCATGTTTAACCGCAAGGAAAGGCGCTAGGCCATATTTAGAGAGAGAGAGAGAGAGAGAGGGAGAGCAGGAGGAAGAGTGCAATAGAAAGTGATTTCTAAATGTCAGAGTTCACCATCAAAAGGCGCCTGTTACCACATCGCATGAATGGAGAAAGTTGAAAGCAGATGGGCATGAGAACACCGTCAAAATGCAAAGCTGCAGGGAGTGTGTGAGTTGAGCTGTGGTGATAAGGATTTGCTCTAACCACATTCACCCCCCTTTGTTCTCTCAAACCGAAACACACACACACACATTTAGATTTCCATGACGTGATGGTGGGGAAGACGACGGGGTTGCTACAATGCTGCGGTGGTAGAAGCTTTTTCTGCAGAACCACACAGATTCCTGACTCCTGCAGTGAAGATGTCGGCTATCGTTTATAATAATCCTGCTACGACTAGAACATAGCAGTCTGAGGCAGTGACAGCCTCCCAGGACCGTTTCTCGAGATTTATATTGTACTATTTGCATGTTTCTGCTTTATTACAGAGAAAGCATGCAATACTAGCACGGTCTAATGAATTCAACCGTTGCTGCTGAATTAGAATAAGGCTTTAGCTACAATAACTTAAACTAAAGAGTTGAAACATTTTATGATTTTAAGTTTGACCTTTTAAAATGTAGATGTTGCAAATCGGTTGTTATTGCTGATATTTATATAAGGGACACTTCACACACTGTACTTTCCATTATTGTCTTCATATTGTGTAGTCCCAGCAGAACTGAATTTGAATTTAAAAGTTGCAATAACAAGTTGGACGCTTTTCCCTGTAGGGATCTCTGACTTTTGGGCATTTTACGGCACAGACTCAAGTGAATTCATAAATCCGTCAGAACATGTGAGTTGCCAGGAACAAAATAAAAGGACTAATTTTTGTGCTGTATTGATTCTAATTCTGTAATAAAAAGGTTAAAACAAGATTAGCGAGGAAGCAGAGAAATATTTGAACGACATGTAGGTATGTTTCTGTTTAGAGTACCAGCTAACCACTCGGCAAACACTCTCCGCTATTCCCCTTAAACATTAACTTTACAGGACCTGCATAACAGCAGTGCAGAACCCAAACCACCTGACATGATTACTGATCCTGAAATAGAAATCCTGACAGTAAACCTTTTCTAATTTGGAGTCTGATGTTACAGGTTTAAGTGATATACCACTCAAAATCAGCAGAGAAGGGTTAGGGTTATTATGCTGCAGGTGTAGCTTTAAAAAAGGTTTTGCTTTTTTCAACAGTGGAAATATATTGTAATCTGTCATATTGTCTATATTGCATTAATTTTATTACTGTATAACTACATATTTATGACCAATGCTTCAATTTGCAGAGCAGCAAGTTAGTGACAGACAGCATGCAGCGCTAAAGCTCAGTTTTCAAACATTATTTGGAGGCAGAGCTCGTCTTAAAACGGCTATAATCTCATTGGTTGAGTTAATTGTCAGTGGGTGGAGCTTGGTAACTTCATTCAGTGGTTGTGTAAGACCAATAAAAAGGCAAAAGGGTAAATAACTAAAATTATAACGCATTGAGAACTTGATCAAATTCAGAAGATTATTACTACCTCCAGAGCAGCTCCGCCTTTAAGAAATGTGGAAGCAATGCACTGATGGTTAAATGGCAGGAGAGATGACAACAGCAATGAGGTGCTAAGGTGAGGGTCGGGGTGGATGTTTGTTACACACCTGCAAGGACCGCACCAGTCCGTTTGTTGGTTGAGGCCGAAGCGAGCCCGGCATTTCTTAGGAGAGCCCGGGTCTGAGTACAATGCACAGCATGCACAAAACAAGGAGGAGGAGGAAAGGCAAAAACAGAGGAACAGGAGAAGAGGAAGGTTAGAGAGCAGAGATGAAGACGGAAAGGAGAGAAGAGAAATAAACAAAAGGAACGAAGAGACACAAGAGCTTATCAGGGCAGGAAAAGGCACCAACAGGGCTGTCCGTACAGAGAGAGCCATCAAGTCAAACTGTTAGTAGCCGGTTATAGCACAGCAAAACATTAAACCACCAGAACAACCAAGTCAGACATCCTGAAAATAGGCTGTTAAGACATACAGAGACATACAGATAGACTCAGAGAGGGCAGCCGTGCTGTGACACTCTTGTTAGTGCAGGATTTTAAAAGGTTTTCACTTTCTGGCAAAGACGTAGTCATATAGTGATTTATCTCAGGAGATCGAGACTCTTGAAATCCAGAAATACACTTTATTATGTCTCTGTTTGAGGCTGAAGTTGGGCCTGATATTGGAAAATATTGAAATCAATAGATTTTTAGCTTTAGTTCAGGAGAGGCACTTTATTCATTAGTGGCTACCAGCTGACTTCTTACATCAAGTATCATCCATATTTTATAAGAATCTCTTACCTGAAATAGCAGAATTGCCTGCAGGACATTTGAATCATTTAGCTTTGGAACTGCTAAGTTGTTACTTTCTTACTTTTGACGCTACCTGCTAATACTATCTTTACTACTATAGTGGTAGCATGAGCACTCATGTACAGTAAGTGATCCACTAAGGACACGTGGAGAACTTTTGTGTTCGTGTGTTTGAATTGGTGAAGATAAGAGATGATTGCATTCAATTTTGGTGAAGGAAAATGCCATGATGTCTGACATGTTAAATGTGAACAGCAAAGATCAGGACATAAAAGTTTTGTACACAATGTTTATAATTCAGGTTACGTGGAAAGCAGAGTGGGTGGGTGGTTTGACGTTAGAGACACATCCTGCCTCAAAGACATCAAGATGTGCTACAGAGCGCCAACGCAAATTCAAGCTCAACTGAATTCTCTCAAATACTGTAGAGTCGACACTGGCCATTTCTTTTCTTATACTGAAACAAGGTATCATGAAATCTGTCTGACAAGACAAAGGCAAGTCATTTAGATGTTTACCTGTATTGGAGTCCTGAAGCTTCTCCCTTTTTCTCCTCTTTTTCTTGCCCTGTGGGAGAAAGAAAAAACAAAATATCAGCCCAATTAGCTGTTTCCTTAGTCTGGCAATGCCTCCATAAAGAATTTTTGGATTCCTCTTTGCTTTCCCAGTTAGCTTAATATGTTTGTTTACTACCCTTGGGTGCAATCCCCCTTTGAGAGTGATGTTCACAGTGCATGTACATGATGAAATGTAGTCTCAGACTGTAATCTTTTATCAACAGAAATCTGCACCATATGCAAAATGGAGGATTCTTATGTGAAATGTCAATCCATTTTAAATGAAAACAAATGCAAAGTTGAAAGCAGCAACCAGGTCAGGCAACCATCTTAAATGCTCTACAAAAGCAAGGAAAAAGCAAGACAGTAAAAGACAAACAAGAAAATATGTTCCATTACTAATGTCATTGTGCACTCAATTCATGCAAAACCAGATGTGTCGTCAAAATGTTATCGATGGTTAATATTTCATTATCTAGACTGTAGTATGTGACTGTTGAGGTAAACATCAGAGTTGTTCACACAGATCTGGTGATGGTGAAGTGAGGCCTCATATTTTGGTGATATGAAGGATGTGGGTAGAGAGAGATCTACCGCCTACGCTTCGATGTCTGCCCTCCTCGGCTCGCTGTCAGCATTGTCTATGTGGTTACAACAACAACTCTTCTTGCAACTGAAGCTTTGTGTCTGTGGGCGTACGTGTGTCCATATACTACATGTAGGTTTATTTAGGACTCGGAGGAGAAACCCTCCACAGCTGCGGGGGCGATATATGGAACTTCGCTTCCTGTTTTGTGAGTAGGACCAGTGACTGTTTTTTTTAACCACAGAAAGAGTGTGGGGTCGAGATGGGGGATTAAGGGGGTTTATTTAAATGCAGCAGACAATATTTTAAACACAGCCAAGAAGCCCTGCATGCTTGTATAAATGTTGTCATTACACAAGGTGATCTTTTCTACACATCCGAGCCTGTTGGACTCTGTTGCCCTGTGAGGAATATTTTGCATAAATCATTTGTTTTTGGTTTCATTTCACTCATGGAGTTGTAATGAAATGCAGAACTTTTGCAGAATGATCACACACTTAATTTTAATAGTCAAAGTGTAATGCATTCCTGTCATTCAAAATTGTTGGGAAAATGTTTGACATACAGCATGAAGTCCAATGCCCCTATAGTTAAATACTGATATCTGTCAGAAATCCACCATTTGTTTATACGCACTTATCAAACAGTGTCCAATGTGCCTTGCTGAGTTGCTTAGAAAATGCTCATCATGGATGTTCAGGATGTTTTTGAACATTGAGCTTAGAAATTAACCCTCTACGTGTGGGGGTAGGACTTTTAATTTGAAATATCGGTTCAATAAACTGGCAACGTCTCGTGCAGCTCCGTCAGCTACAGCCTTTAAAATGAAATAAAAACCAAATGAAAAATGACATTAGAACGGAATCAGTGTTCACGTTAGTGACATGAATCGCTCTTTCAGATGTCACAAACGTGTTATAAACCACAGCACAAGCAAAGTGTCAGCATAACTCCGCATGTCATGCCTGCCCATCTACGGAGTTCAGCTCAGTCAGGTAAAGAGAAACAAGACAGTAGAGCAGAGAAAAGCATAAACAGGTTACCACTCTGACAGGTATCTAAAGTGACTGAAAAGCAGCCTCTGTTACAACCAAAGCCTTTAATTCACCTGACACATTTTCCTCATCGATTTCTGGTAGAAACATTCATACATTACAGGATTTTCTAAAGCCTAGCATTGTTAGAAAAACAAATGACTACTAAATGTAAAAATCACCACGAAGTGCCGTGTTAAAAGGTTATGTTTCTGTTTAACCATAACATGTGTCATTATTGTTTTGCTATACTAATAAAAAGGTGCTGAATTTTAAAGGGATGCCCCCCAAAATAACAAATAAATATATAACTAAGGCAGCGAGGCCAGCCATGCGCCCCTGCTCTGTTAGTTGAGCAAAACGGGTTGATTTATACCTCTGTGTGACTCAGTGTTTTACAGTTTAACTGACTAGTAGTGATAACCATGGCAACGTGCAAGACTTGGTGAAAAGGTATTCATAACTGACCAATCAGATCTGCTTTTGCCGCTGCTGTTACTTGCGTGTTGTTTGTGAGGCTGATGTGTGTGAGTCATTAAGATTTTGGGAAGGTGCATGCAAACTTTGCACAGGAATACCCACAACCCCTTTCATGCAGCTCTTCACATAGTCATTTTTTCCCACCACAGAGGCATAAATCCACCATAAGACGTGTCCCTACCCAATCAGCTTTACTCTTTTCCCCTGCGACCCCGCTAAGGCCCGCCTCCTGCAAGAGTTCAACAGCAAACTGACAAGTCAGAGGCACACAGCAGCCCAGATACAGCACATCCCCAAAACATCAAGACTAAAACACATGCACCACACAGGTTTGACTTCCTTTTGTATTCTGGGAGGCCTATTTAATAATTCCATGCCATAAATGTTATGTTTTATGACTTTAGACTGACAGGTATGAGAGACAATAATCATGCAGGCTGTTGAGACAGTAGCCAGTAAGGGAAGTAAGTTTTAGCTCTGAGGTGAAAACAACAAATATTATCAAACCCAGTTCAACAAGTTCTGGTTTAGTGAATAGATTTTTGTTTCATCTTGGCTTTATTTACAGGGAATCAAACCAAACAGAAAAGAAGTCAAGTGGTTGGACCGGTTTCTGGTTTACTCTTCACAGGTTTCAACATTTTATACTTTTCTCAAATGCTGCCAGGAACTGCTTAATGTCAAACTCAGCATTTGATGAGGCGTGTCTATAATATATAATACTGCATAATATAATAACTTATCAAAGTATAAATAGTTCTCATTTTCTCAAAGTATTAGTTTTTCCATTTTTCCCTCCATTTCACCACAAAGGAATGTATACTGTTTAACTGTGGTGAATCGGTCTAAATGGGAAATTATGTTCTTTAAGTATAGTACCCTACCTTTAAATATTTCCCTTGGCATGAGTCAACAATGAAATTAAACCTTCTAAGAATAATTGATCATGTTTATAATCTAGGTTCTTTTCATTGATGTAATAATTACAAAAGCACACCTTTGTAGTAAGTAATAACTGTTAAGTAATGTAATAACATATACCCATTACACTATACAAAGTTATCATTCATGTTATAACATTTTTAGTTGCAACAAGCTCAATATTGTAATCAAAGCAACCAAATGACTTCTTCACTCCAGAGAGGATTCCCACTACAACCCCGGCATAAAAATCATGACTTTTCCACAGTTTTCCATAATAAAATGAGAGCGCTTCCTCGACTTAAAACTTTTACATCCCCCTGGTTACGTTATTCAAATCAGCTATTAAAATCAGCTCAGAAAAGCAGTTCTTTTTTCAATCAGTATGGAGGAAGATTAGAAAAGAGGAGGAGAGATGAAGAGTGTACTCACGTAGTTATCCCTGGCAGACCAGGTCGGGTAGAGCTGCATGTGGAGTTGTCTCTCTTTCCTGGCCAACTCGTAGTACTTGGCCTGTTCCTCCCGGGTCAGTGCATGCCACTGGAAACAAACAACCAAACAAACATACACACACACGCGCACACACACACACACACACACACACACACACACACACACACACACACACACACACAAATTAGTTGTGTTAGTATTTTGATCTAATTATCACACATAAGTTATTTGCCCCCTGTGACCCTGTACGCAGGATAAGCGGTTGACAATGGATGGATGGAAGTTATTTGCCATCCTTTAACATCAAAATAAAATGTTTACCACACTAAAAACAAGGCTTTTTTTTCTGGAGACATTAGAGAGGACAGAAAGGAACAGAAAAAAGGTGAAAACCAAAATGTGTACTTTTACACATTATGAGCAAATGCACCCTTTGTTGCAAATCTAGAGTTAGGACCTGTGACAACTGTGAGAAGAGCTTTGTCTGCCAGCTGAAGTGTATGATAAGGTATGATCTGCATCTGAACTGTGCAGATGGTATAAAATACTCCACTGTCTTATTGTTCTTCAGGATCCCAGTACTACCAGTCAGCAGTGTGTTGTTATGAAGTCAGTAGTATCAGTATGTGAGGGGAACAGAGTTCACGTTACCATAGTCCTCTCATGTTCCTCATGTGTGAAATTACAGACTGACCTGGAAACAGGATTAGTCTCCGTTGAGCTGTGTGTGTGTTTGGCTGTGTGAATGTGTGTGGATCCTCACCCTTCGTCCCAGAATCTGGTTGATGGCGGCACTCTCCTTTAATGTGCACTCGGCAATGACCTTCGCCCTCATCTCCTTCATGTAGAGCATGAAGGCGTTCAGGGGTTTCTTGATGACCGGTTTCTTGGGCTCCTTCTCCCGCTTGGCCTCGACATGTGGCTTCCTGGGGGGGGCAAAAGAGACATACACAAATTTAAAGCAAAAGCTTGAAATTTTGGGATATACACATTCACTTTCTTACAGAGGATCATTGGAGACGATTGATAGCACAGTCATGTATGTATGTTAGATAGAACCAGGAGAAACTTGGCTTAGCATAAACACTGGAAACAGGAGAACAGCTAGCCTGGCTCTGTTTGAAAATAAAAAAATGTCTTACCAGCACCTCTACAGCTCACCAATTAACATGTTATATTGCATTTGTTTGATTCCCCTGCCTAAGTATTTGGACCAGGGATGTCAGCGGGGGGTTTCCCAACATAGGGAGGCTTTTTACTCTAGGTCTCCAGGAAGCAGCACCAGGCCAAAGAAAAGTCCAGCACATAACCCTCTATAACACTATAACTTGTTTTTTCAGATTAAACAAACTAAATACAATGTGCTCATTAGTGAGCTGGTAGGCACATTTTGTAACCAATGGATAGAGCCAGGCTAGCAGTTTCCCCATTTCCAGTCTTTGTTTTAAGCAAATCTAATTGTGTCTAACTCTCAGCAAGACAGCAAATATACATATTTCCCAAAATTTCAAATGTATACGTTAAGGGTAAATAAAAGAGGAAAACTGGGTGTTTGGGTTAATTAAAATTCAAACAGTCAATGTACACCACTGCTGATATGATAAGCTTTCCTATTTTTTATATTTTATATTTTATATTTTATATTTTTACAACATACTCATTTCTTTAAATGTCCTAATGTACAATGGACATCTTTGCCTCTCTCAGTCAAGAATTAAAATATCAGACAAATATCTGAGTACTCAAGAACCGAGTATGAAACAGTATAAAAATACACAAAAGGCTGATGTGAAAGACAGAGAATGGAAACACTGAACAGAAATATGAGCGTGGCGTAAGGTGCAGACAATACTTACACGTACATGCCCCTGTCATACTGGTCGTGATCTTGTTTGCCTGATGGGGGCACTATGGCCGGGTGGGGGATCCCTGTAGGATGCATGCCTGATGGGCCCAACATCAGAGAGTGAGGGAACCTGGTGGAGATGGAACAAAAAGAAGGAGGGGGAGGAGAGAAGTGTGGAGGAAGACAGATAGAGATGAGACAGAGAGCAACAGAAATACTTTAGTCAGTTCAGAGAAATGTGTTGAGTCAGGGGCAGAGGGGACGGTGAGCATTAAAGCAAAAGCGGGAGTTTTGGTAAGCAATGGGCTTGAAAGCATGAAGAGCCTGTAGGTTGATATTTTAATATATTATTATTATATTTAAGTGCGGAAAGTGAACATGTGTGAACGTTTTCCCTCACTGGGGTCAACCCGAAGAACAAATCTGTAGGTTCTCCCAAGTGTCCACAACGGTTGGAAATTAAACTTCCTGCCTGTGTGAACAGATAGGTAGCTCTTTAAAAAGTAAAAAAATATACACCTGATAGCTGGTGGTAATGTTGATACAGCACAGCACACAAATGTGTGATTCTGTTCTTTGTGTTATTGAAGCTGTGAGCATTTGTCACCACTAGATGGCGTCCTAGCATTACTGAGTGAGAGGTTTGTAGACCAGAAGGTTCTGAATTCACTTTTATCTTAATTGTCTAAAATTAATTTTAACATCCACTATTTGATCCAAATATATCAACTGAAGTCTAAAAGACAGGAAATTTATTCATTTACTAAGTTTTTCAGACAAAAGAACACATGTTTTATGGCTAAAAAAACAGGTTATTTCAGCATCTTTACAGACTGTGGAGACAAAAGGGGCAAAATAGAGTCTGACTCACAGTGAAGCAGCAATAAGTATCAGCTGCTGGCAGCTCATGGCAGCTGAGTGAGTGTATGGGTCAAATATTAACTCAAAAAATATTCAGAATGTTTGTTTAAACCTGTAGCTCATACATGGGGTTTCCTGCACTTGACAAATTTAGGCACTAGCAACAGAAATACATAATAAACAACATGGATAAATAAAGACTAGGTAATGCTTACTGCTCGGGAATAGTAAATATAGAGGATACGTGAGCATCATGTTAAAGGGTGTGATAGAAAAGATCCAGATAATGTGATTTATAATCACAAGAAAAATAGATTAAAGAGGTCTACAACTAAGTTTTGACTTGCATTAACTGACCATTTTCTCATTTTGGCTTCTTGAATGTATACTGGCTTTTAAGTTTAGGTGAAGACACAGGTTTAAATATAAACTATAACAAAGGTTGGTTGACCTATGCTGTGTGACTGAGACCCGGCAGAAAACCTCAGTAACTGGCAAAGCGCTGCAGCGAGAAAGTATGTGTCTGTTGCAAGCATAGACTTACATCTTTAAAAGCATCAAATGTGTCAAATTAGAGTCACAGCTCAAGCAAACACACACACACACAGACCAAAAAAAACCACCTTGGTGAACAATATGAAGATGCTGTAGCTCTCTCAAACTCACAGCAAAGTCAGTTTTTAGTGTTCCTGTGCCTCCATGAAAAACAAAAATGCCTGCTCTGCTGCTTTTTAAACAAATTGTTTTATTAATGAGTGTCATGGATCAGGAACACATACAAATAATAAAAAGCGATAGCAAGGAAAAAGCAGTTCATGTCCTGATGGTGCTCAAGGTGGAGAAGAGTGTGTGTTTCTGTGCGTGTATGCATGTCAGCCTTTTGTATTCTGCAGCAGCAACTAGCTTGGCTTGACTCAGTTTGCCTCGGCTCAGCTTGTGTTGGCGAAACATTGAACTCGTCCTGTTTATAGCACACTGGTTCCAATAGGACCTTTTACAGCAGCTGCCCAATGAAAGCTGACACAGAGGCTGAACGTGAGTCTGCCACGGTGAATGTACAGCTCCTGCTCAGCTCCTGCTCAGGCATTTTGAATGTGCTATAAACAGAAGTCGATGATGCAGAGCGTTTGCTTGTTGTTTTTGCTTTTACTTTCTTGGCTCAGTCCGGCTTGGTCCGACCAGCCAGCTACGGTACCTGGAGTAGGAGGAGGCGCTGGAGAGGTTGGAGGAGTAGGGCTGCCTGAATCCACAGGGAGACAGGGCAGGATAGACTGGCTGGCTCTGCCTGCCACAGCACAGCAGAGGGGAGAGACGGCAACAGTTGGTGCCTTTTAGCTTTACAGGTAAAATGTTGTTGATCGCTGGGGGGACGTTTAGCCCTTCAGGTCAATTTAATTCTACTAGAATCTTAATTTAAATGAAATTTCATCATTAAATGTCTATGCACTCTAAAATCACTCTACTGTGACACAGAACTAAATTCATTTCATTGAAAACATCTTGCTCTAATGTTGATTGTTAGATAGCTGGAATTAAAAAAATAATGGTTAATTTTCTTTACAATTCTTTCTTATTTCTTTTCATTTATGTTCTGTCCCCCGTTATTCATTCAATTATTTGTTTTTCCTTAGCTTCTCACCTCTTCTGTAGTCTTTCTTATGCATATGCAGAAATATAGGAGTATGTTTAAGTGTGTTTTATTGTATGAGTGTATTTATCTTTTACATCAGCACCAGCACATTTCAAAAATCTCGTGGATTTAATACTTGATTTTCTTTAGACACTTCACAGCTATAGACGAATCTGTTGGAGAAGCTCTTGTAATGCTGCGATGCACGGTGATCCCCCGTGGAGACACGGGATCAGCACTGTTGACAGCTGTGTGTCAATACTTGGCTTACCGGGAGTAGAAACACACACAGTCACACACCATGGGAGGTCGAGGGTGGGGGTGGGATGTAAGCAAGAGCCTTTGATATGTATAAAACCACATTTACAATACAACCACCTTCAACTGACTCATCCTCGTGTTTCAACGTATGCAGACACACGCACTCCAATCCACATCCAGCATTTGAACCACTTTGACAATCATCATTATCGTCACACACACTTCCACGTCTCATCTTTTCCTCTTCAACTCCACTGAATCCAATCTTTAGCCCCAGGAGGCAGCGCTACGCATACAGTGAAGCCCAGCAGCAGAGGCCTTCCAGCTCGGAAGAGATCCAGAGATCACTGGGCTCTGCTCCTGGAGGACCATTCAGGCTGTAATCCTGTTTTAAACTGAGGTCACACTACAACACGAGTCAAGTGTTGTTCAGATAAAGGCAGTTCAAACTAAACGGTCGGCCTGCTTTTTATCTCGCCGGGAAGCTGAGCACTACCAGGTCTCAGAATCCATAAATAAATTAATCAATCCATCAGTCAATGTTGATTTATTTTTGGTACATAGCCAAAAAAGAAAAAGAAAAAACTAGCCCTCAAATACACCATCATACAGATACATCAAGATCCTTGCAGGCGGCAGCTCCTAAGTGACGGTGATGCCACACTCAGTAAAATGCCTCCCATGTGAAAGGCATGGCTGGACAGAGGTATGCTGGGAATGAAATGAAAAACTAGGCCACCTGCTCTATTGTGCTGGTCAGTGACTTGAGAATTTTCTTGGTTACGCTTTGAGTACAAGTGACAACAAAGTAATTACAACCCTGCAAACTGATAGGTTCAGTCAAAGGAACTGAGTTTGAAAATGTCAGCTAATGATGTTAAGGGGAAAATCTTTCATGCTTTGTTCCCAACTGTTTGTTCTGATACTAAAGGCCTTAAAAATACATCTGACTGCTCTTCTTCTCTCCAGGTATTTTGTTACTGGACATTCTAGGCACACCTAATCTTCAACCTTCCAGATAGTTGCAATTTCAGCTGCGCAATGATGGAGGTCAGATATATATGCAAATAACATATTTCCGCAATAAATTTGTATGGTGATGTGATATCTTTTTTTCTATCGATATTTTTTCTAATTGCCAACTTTAATTATTTAAAGTCACTTAAAGCGGCCGTATACTCCACCAGAACTGCTGGTTAGACGGTCACATAGGTTTTGATACCCAAACCTCTAGGACACCGGAACTAGGAGGGCTGTGTCCTACAATTTCTCTAAATTTCCAAAAGCAACAATCCGCCATTCACGTCGACCTTACACTGTGATTGGTCAGCTGTCCTTTGTCACAGAACTATTTCTGTCACTTTTTGTGTGAACAGAAAACACATTACACATTGTACGAAATAGTTCTTTTTGAGAATAATCCTTTACATAAACCTTTACAAGTCATTATTCCTTAAGGGGACAGGAGGAGACTGTGTTAAAGTCTCACTCTGCTTTGCTTAATAGATGTCACAGAGGCTTTATATATTTTATTACACTCTGTATTTAATAACGCATGTTTGTGAGACTCATGCTCCCACCATGGGGGTCGCCATTGCAAAGCTGCATCCTTACAAACAATAAAACACACATCTCAAATAATTTCTGACCCCCTCCTGATCTGAGGCAACTATCCAACCAGTCAACAAGCCTGGGGGACATATTGAGGTGGTCATGGAGGGACAGGAGGAGAGACCAGGCTAATAGTCAAAACAACAGAAAACAGCAGTTTGACATTTAACCACTCATTCTCTGTGTTCTCCCCTCCTCCTACTTCAACAAAGAAGCCCACTACAAGGGGCCAAAACAAGAAGATAATCTGGGTTAAAGGAGATTAGCTGTTAATAATATTTGTGAAAATCCACAGTGAACTGTCTGAAAAAGATAAAACGTCTGTAAATCACAGACTTGAGAAATGTCTGGGGACAGACAGCTCGTCCTACAGAAATATGAAAAAACACACGTAAGCAAATGCACACTCAACGTTTTAAGCTTCCGTTTCAAATCTCTGTGACATTTTATGTAAGCCTTAACTGTTTCTGCAGGGGATTTTGTCCAGGCACAGATACTGTAGGTTGTAATAAATGGATTTGTGTTGATCCATAAATCAATGAAAGTCTGACATTATAAGTTCACAATCAACCAGCATGACATTGCGAGCTCACAATCAGAATTGATGGAAACTCTGAATGAAATGATTCAATATGGAACAGATGTTGCCAATGCAGACACCCCACAGAGCTTTCTACACTGCTGCCATTGCCTCCTAATGTAGTGGATGAAAGCCAAAAACAAGCTAATTGTGATGTTTCATTTTGGGACTTTTGCTAGTTTTATTTAAGACGAGACCAGACCTGAACCTGCCAACATTTCCCTGAATCCACCACTTCTAGAGGAAGACTGCAAGTTCCATATTTAGATGTGAAGGTACTGTCTTAAGCAAGTCCAAAGATGATTTCCTGGCAAAAAAATCAAGTTTTAAACCACATTAAGTTCTTTATTGATAATTTGATTTTAGTTAGTAAAACATGTACTCAGTATTCTTCTTGTGACTAGATAGATAAAGACTTTTAGTGTCTCTTACACTGTTCACATATCAGCACTTCTTTTGTAATTGAACACATTCCTTTTGTTTTGACCAAAGGCCACAGGTGAGTCCTAAACACAGAGGCGGTTTCCATGCCAACAAGGGCCTTAGGTTAACTGCTCTGACACCAGGTGAGACGGTGATGTATGTAACACTGACCTGGGTCAGAGTGTGTATGTGATTGTGTTGTGTTGTATGTCATGCTGTGAGATAATGATGATGAGAGTATTTGGGTAGGTCAAAGTGAGTTGTGTAGATTAGCAGAGGAATGTTTGAGGGTTAGAGGTAACATTAGATACAGGTTAATGGTGTGAATTCTGTTTCAGAAAAACACCAGAGTTTGGACTAAACAGCAAAGGACTGTTTGTAGGGCTGGGACAAACGCCATTTTGTGTAATGTTTCTAGACTTTCAGAAAACTGCTGCATATTACAGCAACTGTAATTAGTTATCCTAATAATAAGCCTTCAGTTTAAGTCTACAAGTAACAATTATTTTCATTATCGATTTATCTGCAGATTATTTTCTTGATTAATCCTCTAATTTTTTGGTCTTCGAAATGTCAAAATAGTGAAAAATGTCCATAGCGCTTTCCCAAAGGCCAAAGGTGACGGCTTCAAATTGCTTGTTGTCCAAAATGTAAAGATATTCAGTTTACTGTCAGAGAAGGCCAAGCCAAACCAGGAAAGACATTTGAAGGCTGGAGCCAGTTACTTATTGGCATTTTGGATTAAACAATAATTGCCTACCAATCAATTAACTGTCTATTAGTTTCACAGCTATGTCAGTTCTTATCATGTAAAAGATTGACCTGGTGTATTCCTTTAATTTAGGGAGGGGAGTATAGGGAGTCAGAACAAGGTCATCACAAGTACACAAAGGACTGAGTGAGTCACAGCATGAACAGATATGTGTGCGTGTGTGTGTGTGTGTGTGTGTGTGTGTGTATGTGTGAGAGAGAGAGAGGAACTCACCAGCCCATGGAGGGAGTGATCTGACCGACACCGCCCGGAGGGAGGGAGTAGTACCCTGAGAGGTCCTGGGACTGGTGCCTGTGAACGCCTGGAGGACACACACACACACACACACACACACACACACACACACACACACACACACACACACACACACACAAACACAAACAAATTAACATAATTGTAATCACTCTTTTTACTCGCATTTTGTCACTAAAGACGTCACAAGTACCCACAAGTACACTTCCAATTCCTGTCTTTTTGCCTCTTAAACAAAAACGCACACACAGACACACACACACGTTATGTAAGGTCAGCAGTCCCTGGTCCTGGCCCCAGGTCAGATGGGCTATTAGCGCTATTAGTAGTCTGGGAACCTGGTATTAAATACAAAGATGCCCTTAACACAGGTCACGCAGTTGTGTTCCCATCCTGTCACATTGTGTGCCTGCGAGTGTACGGGTGTTAGTGTGAGAAGATTTAGTGTGTGTGTGCGTGTGTGTGTGTGTGTGTGTGCACGACCCTCCACTGGGAGCTCATGTCGCCAGTTGGTTTCACTGGTTTATTCAACCCAAGTTACAGGCACCCAAACATGCACACAAACAAACCATCACACATTCTTCATCTCTACTTTTAGCAAAACTGTTTTCCAACAAAAGAAACACAGACAGCTCGACTCTCTGCCCTCATACAGTAAATATCCAGTCTCTCCCTGTCTCCCTCTTTGTGCCCTTCAAAGGAAGTCATTTGTCAACAGGCAGCACCTAGCACTTAGCGCAGCCCGGCTGCTAACCTGTGTTTGCAGCAGAGGAATGCTCTAGATGACTGTAATTTGGCCGCGGCTCCAGGCCTGTTTCAGGACCCCGAGCCACCATAAATCTGGACGACAGGAATGCGACTGAGTCAGTCGACCTGTCTCACCCTCCTCTGTCTGTCCCACCACGCCCTTTTCACCATTCTCCTCTCCTCCCTCATCCTTTCTTACAGCCCTCCGCCCTTCCACTGCCCAGACCCTCTTACTCCTTGTAGTCCCTCCTTCATTACAGACCTCAACTCTTTTCCTTCCCTCTCCTATCTTTCCTTTTGTGCGTTCCCAGAATTTACCCCCCCAATATTACTTTTATGGTCTCTCCCGCTTGCATTCTCGCGTTTACCTCTGCCTCCCCTGGATTATTTCTCTACCGTATGGTGTGAGAGACCCAGGTGACCTGTCCACCATTGTGTCCCTGAGCAAGACACTTGGCCCCTAGTTGCTCTAGAGGCATGTGACCTCTGACATGTATAGCAATTGTAAGTCGCTTTAGATAAAAGCGTCAGCTAAATGAATAAAATGTAAAATGTAAATGTTTAAATTAAATTTAAAAAATCCTATGCTGTCCTGTCAAACAAACATTTTTCCATTAGTCATATATATCTATCAGGCCTTTATTGCATGTATTGCCTATTTTAATAACTAATAACGTAGCTTAGGTTATAAAATTAACTTGACTGAACTCTTCAGTCCTCCACAAAACCAGACAAGTTGAAACTTTAGAAGACTAAAAGCTAACTAAAAGTTTAATCTTTAAATTAAATACCAAGAACAATTGAGCACACCAATTAACATTTAAAAATGGTATCACTAGTGCATAAATCATATTTGTCTCCTGGACAGAAATGGTCTGCTGAGCAGATATTATAAGTGAAATAACTAGCTAACTGGTATTTAAACACAGCTAACAAAATTAGCTATAAAAGCCACCACAAGCTTGTTCATCAGACAAACATAAGCAGCTGAGGGCTTCACCTGGAAGTTCTGTATATAGTACATCACATAGACATGTGATAGAAATGCCTTTAAAAAGAGAGAGGGAACTTTTGGCTACAGACCCCTGCTGAAACATCTTCCCATCACAGTTCTGCATGTTTCATATCATGGAGGAGTTTTCTTCTTCAACACCTCATAAAGATTCCTCTTATTGTGTACACTGGGTTTACCCTCAGGCTATGTTCAGACTGACAGCACTGCACTACAAAACACGGAAAATACTAATTTATTTCCACCAGAGCACTGAGTTGGTGCAGCGACGTGCTGAAGCAAACAAACATACACACACAGAACAACAATTACGTCGGCCAATCAAATAAGTGCAGCATTTCGTGTCTATAGAGTTTTGAAGTGAGAAGAGACATTTATTTTTCGTATTGACAATATCACAGCTGAGTGAATTAATGGGCATAAAACTCTCCTGGCTAAATCATCAAAAGATTAAGTTTGAGTTTGAAAATATCTGGTATTTTGATACAAGGTCAAGGTTACATAAAACTTTCAAGGTGTGAGTTAACTATGACTCCCAAGGTGCATTGCGGTAAGAAACATCTGAGCATTAAATTCTTTTACCTGCACCACCAAAGGGTGGGAAGAAGATTATTCTGTTGAGGAAACTGAAAACACAACCTGCAGCTTTTGAAAGAATTCAGTGCACTATTGCGCTGTGTTTTGTTCTCAAGTTCAAAGACAAAGAGTTTTGAATCCTCTACTGCGCCGATTCATGCCTCTGACTGGCTGTTTCTCCATAGCAACGGTAGTGGAGGCTCATGGGTATTGTAGTAGTTTGAGCCATCTGCCTTGTTTAACCGATGGACAAAACCTTTAAAGTTGCAGACTTTGAAACAGAAAAACGTTTTGCTTGCATGATAACTTAAAAAGAGTTGTACTCCTGCCTCTAAAATTAAGTATAAACAGCATCTGCCTACAAACTGGACTTTTTACAGATACCTTGTTCCAACACACCCAATGCACCATCATCGGCCATTTGTTGTTTTGCCAGAGGGCTACCGTCAGTCTGAATCTGCCCTTAGGCTAGTATAGATTTTTCTGTCTATGTTAATATTGTAAAGGATAAATTATTCAACACATTGCCCCATTAAACTGTTAAAAATAGACATTAACTGTTAATACTGACAAATTACATCATTAATAACAATCAATGTTAATTCACAGACAAACAGACCCCAGACAATTTGGACTGGTGACCACACCTCCTCCACTCTAGTGATCAGCCCCCCTCATCTTCACTCTACACACCCATGACTGCAACCCCTGACAAAGAGAGAACTCTGTTGTGAAGTTTGCAACACCACCATCATGGATCAGACATCAGATAATGACAAAAACTTAAAATTCCCGTGCCAAGTTCTTGTTAACTTTTACAGAGGAGCAATGGAAAGCATCCTGACTGGAAACATCACAAACTGGCATTGGATATGCACGGCCCAGGGCCTGAGGGCTCTGCAGCAGGTGATTAAACTGCTCAGAAGATCATTGGTACCCATCTCCTGAGCATCAGTGATATCACTAAGGTGAGGTGCTTGTGCAGAGCCCAAATGATACTAAAAGATAGAACCTACCCCAGCCACAGCCTGTTCACCCTGCTGCAGTCTGGCAAGAGACACAAAGGTATCTGTTGCCGCACCACCAGACTCTTCAACTCCACCTCATCCTCTGCACTCATAAATAAATGACATGGATCTTTCTGTTGTGGTGCTTTTGCAGATTGCCATTCTATATTTTGTGTAGTATATGCACTGTATATAATTAACTGTATATATTGTTTTTATTTTGATCCTATTTTAAATGTGTATATATGTTCTCTGTGTGTAGAATGGAGGATGCTACAACTTTCATTTTGCAGCCCTGTGTTGTAGAATGACAAATAAATGTACCTTGAAGCTTAATCCCTCTTTTAATAACGAGATGGTGAACTTAACGTCCTTTTTTCCAAACCACCTACATACCCTGAAATGACTGTAGGGCTAACATCAAAACAGAAATCCTAAAACACAATGTACACAAGTTTTATTTTGACCGTTAATCTGTAACACGTCAGTGTGATGGAAACATGACGCTGGTTTCAGTAAGTCACGTTTCTGCTTCAGCTCTGACACTATCAGCCCTGTTTGTTGTTGGGAAACCTGAAGGGGAAAATTAGCAGCAGTAATGGGGCAGTTTTCTTTGGAATGCCCCTTTCAAAGAGGCCGTCTAATGACAACTACAGCAACTATCTCACGGTCTCCATGTCAGCGTCTAGGGAAACACTTAAAAGGGAAACCATTTGAGTCAAACTCGGCTCTGAGTGAGCTCAGTATCAGAACGTGTGCATGTTAAACCGAGAGGCGAGGAGCTGAAAATAGTATTCCTGCACTGATAATGTGCTGTGGTGGTTATAACCACTGAGAGTGCAAGTGCTGCAGCATCTGAGCCTTTAAATGACTTGACAGCCCGACTGTGTGGTGTACATAAAAGAGCCCAAGACCAGAAGAAACTTTGTAGTGTTTTGTTACAGTAAGGGCGGTAATGAGTGCTAACAAATTTTACTCAAGTATAGGAACAGTTACTTTTGTTAACACCAAACATCAAAAGTCACAGTAATAGTAAAAGTAAACTATTTACAGTGTAAAACTATACATCATAAAAGCCATGTCTAATATGACTCTTAATTGTTGTTTAATTATTCATCACATTTCATTTCCAGTACACAGTTTCCCTTTTTCTCACCATCAATTTAAAAATGTAAAAGAAAAAGGTAACATGAGCACGTATCCAGCCAGGATAAATATCTTATGATTTGTATAGATTTTATAAGTCAAAATCTGACTTATCATTTGATTGTTTTAACTTGTGCTCTTCGAGTTCAAATTGTATTCAACTGGTGTGTTTTGTGCTTTGTTTTATCCTTTATTTCTGTTTGTCCAACCCCTTTGCAGAAAAATAAAGTGATGATTGCTATCAAAAATTAAACACATAGAGTTGAGAATCATCTGCAGAGTTAACTAAAATGCAAGAAATGACTGAGGAAGGTAGTTACTTTAATGTGATTATAAATGCAAAAGCTATGGCCTTAAGCAATGTTAAGCTAAAAGAAAATATAAAAATATTCTTTAACAAATCCAAACAAAGCATTTTTCCGCCTCTCAATGCACCAATCCAACTGATTCCTACTTAGAGATATAATGTAATTTTTAGAAAACATTACTCAAACAGGGATAAAAAGTGCATTTTGTTCGGGACAATTTTCAGCCGCGGTTACACATTTGGTGCTCTTGTGA